CTCGGGTACCTCGGCACCCCCACGTCCCCAGCTCGGGCACCTCGGCACCCCCACGTCCCCAGCTCGGGTACCTCGGCACCCCCACGTCCCCAGCTTGGGCACCTCGGCACCCCCACACCCCCACGAAAAGGCCCAGGCCTTCCTTCTCTTGGCTAAACTCAGGCTAGTGGCAGACACGTAGGCCTGGACCGAGACCCGAGTGTGGAATACCTCACGTGTCAGAGGGGTAACAGGGAGGCCACACTAGGTCTGGCAGAGGGAATTCTGTCCCTGAGATCGCAGCTGCAGAAGCCCCAGTTTCCCCATTCTGTGAACTGTTTTCTGTGCAGGCTGCACCTCTTGTGACCCCGGACTTACGGTTTCCCACTTGTGTAGCTTTGACAGCTCCATCGTATTTTCGGTCACAGTCCCCTCCCCGGAACGCCAGGAGGGCTGGTCACATCCTTTATCCCCTCCTGCTGCACACGTTCGACGGATGAGCGGCTTGTTCCGCTCTCTGGGCCCCAAATCTTCATCATGCTGTCCTGCTTGTGATGACACTCGTGAGCGAGCGCCCCCGCTGTGGATGTATTTTGAGAGACTTCCAGGTCTGGCACATGGATGATGAATGGGAAAGATAAGGGAAAAGGAGACACCGTTTCTTTCTCCTGTGCACCCAGGCGGAGCAAAGTGTCCGTTGAGATGTACCAGTCGCAGGTGGCAAAGCTGGAGGATGATATCTACAAAGAGGTGGAAGAAAAGGCCCTGCTGAAGGAGGCCCTGGAACGCACGGAGCACCAGCTGTGCCAGGAGAAGAGGATCAACAGGGCCATCCGGCAGCAGAAGGTAAGGTGCTGCTGCCCAGGGCGGAACCTCCCAGGCTGCCCCGCAGCTCCCATTAGAAATGGCCAGGGGAGGTTCCTGGAGGCTCCAGGTGGCGCAGAACGCATGGGAGGTAACTGGGTAGCTTTTGCATCAGACAGGCCAAAGCTCTGCCACTTACTGTGTGACCTTAGATAGGCTTCTTAACCTCTCTGAGACTCATGGTGCTCATCTGTATTTCTTTTAATGGTGGCTGTTGTTTGTTTATATCATTCTGCCAGGCGCTGGGGATACTCTCAGAGGGTGGAGATTTGTGTTCACTATTCTGAGTTCCTGGCATGCAGTAGATACCAATAAATATTTGGTGAATGGATGGGTGGAAGGACAGACAGGTCGATCGATGGACAGATGGATGAATAGCTGGCTGAGGAGTATACAGGAGGATGGGCAGATGGACATCCTGGAAGAACATATCCCTTAGTGTGGAACAGACAGACAGAGAGCTGACTTCGGGTGGATTTCATAGCTGAAGGGTGCCAGGGCTGTGCCATCCAGGGAGGGCACTCAGCCTGACTAGGGCATGCAGGTAGGGCCTGCCAAAGCCAGGATGCTGCCAGTGACCACAAAGGAGGCTGGAGCTTCACCACCAAAGGGACAAGAGGGTGGACATTCCCGGCTGAAGGAGCCGCAGAGGAAAGGCGTGAGGATGAGACTCGCTCCCTGGCACATAGTTGGAAATAGCACTGGCTTGAGAAACCAAGATTCCAATGTCAGGCTGGTGACCCAGCGAAAATGGATCTCCCTCCCAACACACATGCACACACACACACACACACACACACACACACCCTGGTATCTCATCTGTAACATGGCACAGGAGTCAGCCAGTCCTGGGTTCAAATCCATGCACTTATAGCTGTGCAATCTTGTGCAGGTGTCTTCACCTCTCTGAGCCTTGCTTTCCTCATTAGTAAATGGAAACTTCCAGCCCCTGCCTCGCAGGCAGGTGGTGAGGATGAAAGAATGCGGACATTGGCCCATGGCGGTGGCTCACGCCTGTAATCCCAGCAGTTTGGTTGGCCGAGGCAGGCGGATCATGAGGTCAGGAGATTGAGACCATCCTGGCCAGGCTGGTGAAACGCCGTCTCTACTAAAATAACAAAAAATTAGCTGGGTATGGTGGCACGCACCTGTAGTCTCAGCTACTCAGGAGGCTGAAGCAAGGGAATCATTTGAACCCTTGTTCTAATAACTCTGCAAGACCTGTCTTACAGACAGGAGGCAGAGTTGCAGTCTGGAGGGACTGAGGCGTATACAGGAGGATGGGCAGATGGATGTCCTGGAAGATCGCAGGTCGTGCCACTGCACTCCAGCCTGGCAACAGAGCAATACTGCATCTCAGAAAAAAAAAAAAAAAAATGCAGGTATCCCTCGCTGTCTGCTGTCCACTCTTGCTATTGTCGAAACTCGGGAGCCAAGTAGTTTCAGATGGTAAGGGGGCTTGTCCTATCTCTGAAGCACCTGCCCAGGGCCTGGCACCAGCTGGTGAATGCTGCCTTCCCCACGCTGCTGTGACCCATGCTGCCTATGATCACTCCCCTGGGTGAGTCCTGCCTCAGACAGGCAACACACACAAACACATACTGTGCTGGGTCTACCTACTGGAAGATTTCCCCACAGCAAGGCACACATGACAGCACCCAGGCAGCTTCCGAAGCTCCGGGCAGAGGGGCTTTCCCTGCCTACCTTTCAGTTTCCATATTCATCCATCCACCCCTGCAGCCCAAAGGGCATTGGAACAGCGACTTCTACATAGAGCCAGACTCTCCCTTTCCTTCCCTCTCACCTAAGGTAGAGCAGATCCCAAGGCTGGGGTCAGGCAAGCCAGGGAAAGAGCCACAGCCGCTGCCACCTCGTGACCATCTCCAGCCCAGGCACTGGGCTCCTCTGAGCTTTGCAGCCATGATCGGGCTTCTTAATGCCTCTAATAGCCCTGCCTGGTACGATGATCCCTATGTTACAGATGAGGAAACCGCACCTCAGAGAGTTAAGAGGCGCCCAACTGCACACGGTAGCTGGTAAGGAGGGCTGGGACCTGACCCCAGATCCCTCTGATCACAGTTCTCCTGCTCTCTACGGGGTTGGCCCTGAGTCCCCCTCCTTGTAACTGTTAGCTTTTATGTGTGTGTGCATGCTCCTGTGTGTGTGTATGTGTGTGTACGTGTGTGCCGTGTGCATAAGGGTTTCCTGTGTGAGATGCTGTGTGTGTGTGTGTGTGTATGTGTGTGTTGCTTGCCTGAGCTCAGAGAGGGGCAAGCCCCCGGGGAAGGGTACCCCCTCTACCAGCCAGGTGAGCTCCTTGCAGATGCCTGGCCTTCATCCCACAAACCTTGCAGACCACAGGCTCCCTGGCTTGCAGCCCCAAAAAGGAAGGCGGCGTCCTGCTCTGGACATGGCCTTTCTAGCACTCACCACTCTGAATTAAACATCACGGCCCACCCCCTACTCGTCTGCACATGTCGTGGGGCTGCCTCGGGCAGGGGATGGTTTCCTTTCACGCAGTGCCATGCCTGGGAAATCTGGCAGCAACAGAGGCCTGAGCTGTCCTTTGATGTGCCCGCTGGAGAGCTCACTCCTTCCTGAGGCAGTGAGGCAGCGTCCCCCAGAGCTTGGCAGGCCAGGCCCACAGCACAGACACCAAACCACAGAATGGGACAGCAGAGGGCCCCAAAAAGCCCATTGTCATGCACTGGCTAGAAATGAAAGAAAACCTGCAGATTTACATAATCAGTCCACATGCATTATTCATGGCTGCCTTACAGACGCACACACAATTCAGGCTGGCCAGCCTGCCGCGGAGCCGGAGGAGGAAGGTCCAAGGTGGCCAAGCCAAACCTGCGTCAGGGTCCCCAGCTAGAGCTGGGAACTTTCGAATTCGTGGAATTCACAACTTAGGAAAGATGCGGTAGAAAGTAGAGCCACCGTCCCGGCAAGGCTGATGGTGTGATTTACGGAGCGCTTGCTGGCAGGCACACCCCCCAGGGCAGGGCCCACCCTCACCTCATGCCAGCCTGCAGGGCTGCCAGGCATCTGCCCACTGAGAGGGGAAACTAAGAAGGGCAGAGGGCGGTACCACCTGCTACTCAGCCACAGAAACGGGACCTCAGCGACCTCCGACCCCGGCCCTCCCAGCCCGTCCACTCATCTACCCCATCACCATTTCTCTCGGGGTTCATCCCTGGGCTCAGTTCGAATTTAAGGTTTGTGACTAACATGGTATCAGAAATTCCTGTTTGTCAAGGGGAAAAATATTCTTTTTTTATTTCTTGCTGTTCAAGAGTTTGACAATAGAGAAAAAAAAATGGGTTTTTTTCCCAGTGTTACAAGATTCCGAAGGGAACCTGTATACATCTGTTTGGGCAGCAGCTGCTCCCTAGCAGTATATTTTCATTAAATGGCAATTAAAGGAAAGTAGAATTCCTTCTTTTTAAGTTTCACACTTCATATTTTCACAAGGAGTCGATATTTTTCCAAGTGTCCTGTATGAAATCTCAGCACCCCTTCATAACTGTGCTGGCACAGTTGAGGGGCTGGGAAACGAAATTCCTCACCTTGCGTTTCAGAACTACCCGCCCCCGACACACAGACCACCGCTGTAGTTTTAACATTTGAACGAACATCTCTTCACTGAGCAGAACTTTCCAGAATCAAAAGTCATACTTCCAGCTGGGCAGGGTAGGTCACATCTGTAACACGAGAACTTTGGAAGGCTGAGGCAGGAGGATCCCTTGAGAACGGCCTGGGCAGCATAGCAAGACACCATCTCTAAAAATAAAAATTAAAAAAATTAGCCAGGTGTGGCACCGCACACCGGTAGTCCCAGCTACTTGGGAGGCTAAGATGGAAGGATCACCTGAGCCTAGTAGTTTGGGGCTGCAGTACACTTTGATCACGCCACTGCCCTCCAGCCTGGGTGACACAGCAAGCCCTTGTCACTTTTAAAACAGAAAAAAGGCACGGTTCTATACGAATACCTCTGGTTGTGCAAATCAGACCTGACACAAAATGCGGGGAAAAGCCTCAGCACTGGTCATCCTCAGAGGACCTCGTGGTCATCAGCCTCCTGGCTCTGAGATGCCCCGGGTCCACAGCTCCCTGCGGTGACTGTGTGACAGTGATGATGGCCCAGGCTGTGCCCAGTCTAGTCCACTTCCTACATCGCTAAATAAGGCGGCAGAGTCTCTTAGAGATAAGAGGCAGACTTTGGAGTGAAACAGGCAGGGCTTAGGGTTCAAGCGCACCTCTGCCCCTGAGTGAGCCTCAGTAGGTGACTTTGCCTCTGTCTCAGGTTTCTCAAAAACGGCAACAGTGAAGTGACGGTCACGACACGACCTGCTTCACGGGGCAGTTAAATGGTGCGATGCGGGCAGCGCCTGGCACAGAGCAAGGCCACTCGGGGGTGGGGGGCAGTGCCCAAATTGCTTTCAATGAGCTTCCTGCCTGCTGGCGCATCCTGCAGACCCTGAGACTTTTTCCCGGGTCCTCCTAGAGCCGGCAGCGCCTTTGTGAAGCTGCCTTTTCTATTTGGTGAATACAACTAGGGCCACAGCCAAGGAAGAGCCAGTACTTTTCATGAATGGGTTAAGACTGAATTTTCAGTAGAAACATTTTAAATGCCCAGAAGTTGCCCTTGGAGAAGGATGCAAGCCCTTTCTCGGGCCTTCATTAGGACTGGAGTGTGAGAACCGCTGAAATGCCCTAGCTGCTTCTGGCTCCCCTTCTGGGCTCCAGCCAATCAAATCCTGCCCAAGGGGCTTGGCCACAGCTTTGCCGAGTGGTCTCAGCTGGGCTGGGGCCCCTGACCTTCCCTCTGCATTGTAAGCTCAAGTCCCTCATCTTTGAGACGAAAATAAAAATGTGCCTAACTCACAGGTGTCAGTCCCGTGAAGGCACGCATATAATGCCCTAAGCAAACAGGACCTCTCAATCGTGCTGTTTTTCCTTTTTCTTTTTCTTTTTCTTTTTTTTTTTTTTTTGAGACAGAGTCCCGCTCTGTCTCCAGGCTGGAGTGCAGTGGCGCGATCTCGGCTCACTGCAACCTCCGCCTCCCAGGTTCAAGTGATACTCCTGCCTCAGCCTCCCGAGTAGCTGGGACTACAGGCGCACACCCAGCTAATTTTTGTGTTTTTCGTAGAGACAGGGTTTCATGATGTTGGCCAGGATGGTCTCAATCTCTTGACCTCATGATCCACCCGCCTCGGCCTCCCAAAGTGTTGGGATTATAGGCATGAGCCACTGCACCCGGCCATGTTTTTTCTTTTTCTTTTTTTTTTT